CCAGAAAAGTTATAAGTGCAAGACAGGCTGAAGCCATTGTGTGTGTATGCATGTGTTTTTGTGTGCGTGTGTCCGTGTGTGTGTGTTTGTGTGTGTTGACCTCTCCATGCTGCTTGTGGCTGCTCTGTATTCTGGTCCTGGTCCATCTGTGTGCGTCCAATCATCTCACACTTGTACATTCCACAGACGCAGCCACATTAGACCAGAGACCTCCTGCCATGTAATTCCAGCAGTCTTTAAAGCCGAGCTAATCAACGCTAATCAAAGCTCATATTACAAACGCAAACTGATAATGTTAAACGTCGCATGCATCGCAGATTACACAGTGTCTCCGCACGCAGACTTCTGTGGAGTTGATTTAGGTGACAGAAGTTTGTGACCCTGGAATGAGTTGTGAGAGGATTTCAAATCACCAGGTGAATTAATGAGAAATGAGCTTCTGACATCTCACGGCGAAGAATGTTGAATATTTATTTTCATGACCTTTGACTCTGGTATTGTAACCATAATAGAGTCATTATCATCTTTAAGCAATATATATTTTTCTTTTAAATACAACTAACTAACTGTATTAATATAGTTAAAGACTTTATGCTTTTTGGAGTGTTTACTGATGGATATTTTTTTTACCATAATTTCCGAACTATAAGTCACTACTTTTCTCTCACATTTTGAGCCTTGTACAATGATGCGGTGAATATATAGACTGATTATTTGTTTGGCACATTCTCCATTCATATATATGCTCTATGGTTTGGCAACATGCAATCTGAGTGCAGAAAGTGCTGCTGTCTTGTGTGGTTAACATGAAATTGCAATGTTAGTGTTGTTGTCAGCGCACTCAAACAGTTTATTGCCATGTGATAAAATAAGGTATGATGCTAAATTAAAATCAGTGAGTGTGATACGTCTTACTCATATGCGTTAAATGCAGGTGGGTGCGTAAATGACGAGAAGCAACGTCTCGAACTTCAGTAGCCGGACGTCTATTCATACCTGTTGATGGTGAGACTTTGGCAACGGCAACAAAAGCTTTTCAGAGGTGATAAAAGCAGACGGCCCGAACTTGAAAACCTTCTTGAAGATGTGGACACCTGCGGCTTATAGACAGGTGCAGCCTATATATGTAAAAATAAAAAAAAGCCTTTCAAATTTTGTTGATGCGACTCATATTCACCCTATCTCTAAGGGAGCGCCCAGCCACCCTGCGGAGGAAACTCATTTCGACTGCTTGTATCTGCGATCTTGTCCTTTCGGTCACTACCCAGAGCTCATGACCACAGGTGAGAGTAGGAACGAAGATTGACTGGTAAATCGAGAGCTTCGCCTTTCGACTCAGCTCCCGCTTCACCACAACGGTCCAATACAGCGACCGCATCACTGCAGACGCTGCACCGATCCGCCTGTCAATCTCACGCTCCGTCCTCCCTTCACTCGTGAACAAGACCCCAAGATACTTGAACTCCACTTGAGGCAGGGACTCTCCACCCATCTGGAGAGGGCAAGCCACCTTTTTCCGGTCGAGAACCATGGCCTCAGACTTGGAAGATCTGATTCTCATCCCAGTCATGTCATACTCGGCTACAAACCACCCCAGTGCACATTGCAGGTCCTGGCCTGATGAAGCCAACAGGACAGATAGGGGGAGGAGCTCAGTCACACGGGAGGAGCTCGGAGTAGAGCCGCTGCTCCTCCATGTCGAGAAGAGCCAGTTGAGGTGACTCGGGCATCTGTTCCGGATGCCTCTTGGGCACCTCCCTCGGGAGGTGTTCCGGGCATGTCCCACCGGGAGGAGGCCCCGGGGAAGACCCAGGACACACTGGAGGGTCTATGTCTCTCGGCTGGCCTGGGAACGCCCTGGGGTTCCCCCGGAGGAGCTGGAGGATGTGTCTGGGATGAAGGAAGTCTGGGAGTCCCTGCTTAGACTGCTGCCCCCACGACCCTGCGATGGATGGTTGGATTTATATTCAGGTACTCTCAATAGTCTGGAAATTATGGCAATTTGTTCTAAACTATAATATACATTTATTAATTTATTAATTTTGTTCATTATAAACTGCAATAGTAATCTAAAAATCAAAAACATACCTGAAGTTGTGTTTTGTTTTATTCATACATGTTTGAGTAACCATATCTCCAATGCTCAGAATGCTCTGTTTCACATTGTGGTACTTTTCTAGTTAACAGCTACTAGCTTTTACTTTTAGTTCAGTAGAGTGTTTTCAGTTTGAGAGAAGAACTCAGCCTACATAGAAAGTTTGGATGAATGAAACAAAACACAACTCCAGGTTTGTTTGTGATGAGGAAACGTTATACCGTAGATCATGAAATAGTGTAATATGGGCACTTTAAATAAATACAAAAGTATCACAGTATAACATCTGTATGAGTGTAATTATAAATAAACACACAAATCACTAAATTCTAATTACGTTATTACTTTTATTAATTATTATCATCATCAACATTATTCTTCAAGTTTAGCTGTGTAACAAATGTTTCTTGGCTGTCAAAAATTATGTAGCAGAAATAGGTTTGAATGAGATAAATCTAAAAATGATAAGAAAGAAAGCAGAATAAAATACAACAGGAGAGAAAACAATATCTAGAAAAAAATCCCAATTAAACTATAAAAGCCTTTTAACTGAATAGAAACTACTAAAATATATAGATAAATGTACATAGCTGATGTATTGGGCCAATTTTAAACTGGCCTTAAGCTCCCTCGACTCCCATGTTAATACTGTACATCCCTAACATGTATCCTGTGTGAGTTATGTCCCTTCCTTGGCAAAAATAATATACATGAGTGCAAGCAACAGCATTGTACATACAATTCAGACAAAACACAAATCAAAATACTTGTCAACTCTCCCTCCATGTTCTTTGTAAACGCAGATTTGAAATGCCATCACAACATCGTCCTCTGTATCCGCTGGAACTCATCCCAGACCCCCTCAGAACATGTTTATGCACATTTGAGCTGAATAAAATATAGCATGATAAGTCTGACATTGGTAACATCTTCCATCATCAAGGCATTTTGAAAAACAACTTCAAAATAAAAAACAAAAGTTCAGTTTTAGGCCCATTTCTCTTGTTTTGAGGACTTCTAAAAGCGTATAAATGTGCAACACATTTGCTGAGGCCATCGTGGTACAGTTGAAAATATTAACTAAATGAATGTGTGATCTTCATTATTACAACAGATGAACTAATGAAGAATTTAAAATCCTATGAAACATAAACATCAGTATGGAAGTTATTTTATAAAAGTCCTGAAGAAACTAAACTTTTTGGATTTTAGGGGGTCATGACAAATTAAGGTGCACTGGGTAACTTTTCTGGCAGAGGCCCACCACCTGCTTGTTTTCATGAATATATTATTGCTTTGCTGTAATGTTCCACAATATGACATTAAACTTAACTGTCGTCATGGAGACAAGCAGGAGGGGGCACCAGATTACAGGTCATTAGAGGTTTGTATAGAGGTGAGCCTGCTCACAGTACATGTTTCCAGGCATGGCAATAACATCTCCTGAAAGACAAGCAGGTGGCGGACCCTCTACCAGAAAAGTTACACAGTGCAGCTTTAAAGTCTTGGCATGGCACAGTGAGTGTGTGTCATTCTGTACTATGACATACTGTACGTTCAATGGCCCAACATTACAGAGAGACTGAGTAAAGGCAGAACACAGACAGGTGCAAATAACAAGTGTAAACCTCGAACTGTGTGAGAGCTATTGTCCTTCCCTTCATATGTGTTTAACCCTCCACCCTTTACTCTTTCTGTTTCATTCCTTGTTTTTTTTTTGTTTTTCTTCTTTTTTTTGCTACATGTGCAAATGTAAACAGATACAGATGAAGCTAGCAGCCCCGTAGCAACAGAAATAAAAAAGATGTGTACAAGCCCCTGATCCTAGAAATATATTTAAACATGTTGAAATTGTTCCGGTAGCTAAAGTTCTTAGCACATAAAAGGTGCACTATATTTGTCTGCCACCTGTTTGCAACAAAATTACTGTCTGGATCTGTGGAGAGGCGACTCTGCTGACAGCAAAGATTACTTTTTTCAATCCCCCCCCCATCTGTACAAACACTTGCAACTGAACAAAAGCAAATTGGATTTTTAATGCCATGTGTGGAAAATTCCAGGCAAAGAAACAACATTTAAGAGACAAACACATGGCAGAGTCTCTCAACCTTAAAAGTTACATAGTGCACCTTTAACTATGATGTTTTCCACCGTGTCATACATCTCCATTTCCTATTTGTTACATAATGCCATGGGTGGTTTATTTTTATAAGAAGTGCCCTCAGCGCGCACACAGGTTTACATTTCAGAACCAGATCTGTCATGTTTTGATGGAATTGACAAATTGGTCTCTCCCTGGTGTTTGTGACTCCCACACAGAAGCAGGTACTTTGACATTTACCTTTACAGCGGTATGGGCCATGTACTGACATTACATACATACATATATATTTGTATTCATATATTCATGCATATATACGGCTCCCACACACCACACACAGGATTATCTGGTTTTGCATCTCTCGGGCAAACAGAACTAAGGCAAATGTCCAAAGTAGTGCATCACAATCAAGGTGCATGTCAAAAAATAGAAGATTGTGGATATGGTCATTAAAGTACATTTTATTCAGTAGTAGTTTTCGTTTAAAAAAATATAGACTGTCTAACAATGTACATCTGATTGCATACTATTGACACATTATTTCTGTGGTATAAGACAAATGTGTAGTTGAATTTTTTAAGCATTTTCTTATGTAATATTAACTAAAACTAAGTGACTACTTGTAATATTATCTCCACGATATTCTAATTTACTGCCATGCACCTGCACACAAAATGGAAAAGGGCTGGTATAGCTTTGACTAAAATTTTAATCTTTTTAGGTGCACACAGACACCCAGACAGCGTAAGGCATGTCAATCAAGTATTATAAACATTACAATAAAATGTTGTGGTTCCCTTACTCTATTGAATGACATGTTTACAGGCACTAGTCAGGATACTGGGAAGCTTTCAGAGTATCCCTATTGTCAATTTACTTCAAAGGAGTCTGCATTGGATTAGCTTTTAGCAACTAAGGCAACAAGGCAATCCTTACATAATAATAATAAGAATTATTATACGGCCAAAAATATATTTCAGCAATACATTCTGTGAGTTACAATGTGAGAACTTTTGGTTGAACAGAAATGTGTTTGTAAACGAATGAACATTAATAGGACAAGGTCAAATATGGGAGGTTACACTTTGGATAAAGTTGTGTTTTTTGCTTTTAGTTAGGTGTATATTCAAAGAAATACACAAGCAAACTCGTGAACAATACTGAAGCCATCCACTAGAGGGCGACACCTGGGTTTTTGGCTTATTAAACACTAACATCTCTATGTGATCTGTAATACTAATCTGGCATAACATCACTGACAGTGAACAGTGCAGAATATCTATTCATCTGTTAATGAGCCCAGTGTAATATTACACAGTCACATATTTGGCGAGTTTGACAAAAGCCTAGATGATGATGACTAGACAGCCTGGTGATGGCATCTCCTAATTTGATACCCCATTCAGGTTGTTCCCAAGGGGCTGGTGCAAAATGTTGAAGTCTTGGTAATATTACGACTGACAGGACATGCATAAAGAATAAAAAGCACTGAGAAAAATAAATAATGTAACCTTGGGACATTGTGGTAACAGCACAATGATTTTTGCAAGTCTTTAAATCACTGGTGCTTGAGTAATAATATACTGTAAATAAAACACAAAACATGTAACAGTTCCTCTCTGCAGGGGCCAGTCTCTCGTGGAGTGTATTATAATAGATGAATCTGGGGTTTAATGCCCTACTCTCTCAGTAAAATAATAAGGTTAGAGAATGTTTATGTGTGTAACAAAGGAGCAGTGAAAATATATTGAACAGGTGCAACACGTGTGACCCCTGAGGACTGACCTTCATTTTGTTTTCATCATCATTAGGGGACGGACATACAGTATTCTGTACATAGACTTTCAGAACAAGCAGAATAACCCTATTGAGCTGTACCTTTTTGTTCAACTGCTGCTAGACAAACAAATAAAAAAAGACTTATTTAAAAAGTACCATTTCAAGCATGTACAAAAAGCACAAATATAAGAAAATGTAACAAGTCTGTACTAAAATCATTATTATTATTTTTGTAAATATTAATATAGTTGTTAAGCAGGTTAATAGTTTGTTCTATTAGGCAGGCGGCCAGGCACATTGCTTTCATGGCACAGAGGAAGGTAGAAAAAAGTCTCTTGGTTCCATCAAAGCTGAAAACACTTTGAAACCACATAGAAATGGCTGTTACATAGTTCATTACATTTCCTGCCACTTTACACAATGGCACTTTGCATTATTGGAGAATGCAGTCACTCTGAGTACAAGTGAATGACGAATCAGGGCAGTTCTAAATGGTTTCAATGTATAGAAAGTTTTGGTATTTGAATCTGTTTGAACTGCCATTATTTTCCTCACCAAATCAGATAGTTGTACCCAGATAAAAAAAGGCCTGAAAATGCAATAGCCCAGTTTGGATAAGCTTGCACCCAATGGAATTTGGGTTAACGCGATGCATAACAAATTAATAGAATCTTTTTTGCTTTCCCATCGTCTCCAGTCCAGTTTCAGGGTTGCAAATGGCTGCTTACTGAGTTTAATAGGCGATTTCAGCCACTTGCCCGTTGTCCAGAAGTGTCAAGTAGCAACTGTCAGTCAAACTCCAGATTCGGGCTATGTTTCCTGACGGTCCTTGCAGCACTTTGTCCCGATTCGGCAATGATTTATGACCATTTGACAGGCAAGCGCTTCCAGCATAAAGATGTGTTCAGTATAGTTCCCAACATATAGACCCCTTTGACATGTGCTAGCCTCAAGAAACATGAGGTTACAGCTTATACTTCCCAAATAAAGGCAACCATTTAGTTTGTTTTTTGTTGTAATCAATAACGTTAATTACTGTCTGAGTTCTTGTCACCGTTTTTAGACTTGCTAACAGCGACAGTTGGAGATGTTGCGGTACAGTCCAGTCCCATCTTGCTATCTTGTTGTTCCTCAAAGTCTTCAGGACCTGGCTTGTCGTCTACGTCACTTCCCGTACTTTCTTTTTCTTCCTCCTCTTTGCCGTTAGTGTCATGGACTTGATCGTCGCTTTTCTCGTCTTGATTTGCGTTTTCTGAACTCACAGTGATTTCAGATTTTTGCTGTAGCGCCTTATCCGAGTACCGGTGAAGCCCTCTTTGTATGTGCGTGGTGAAATCGTACTTATCGGCGCAAACGTGAAGACAAAAACTGCACTGGTACGGAGCCTGGTCACCGTGGCAACTCATGTGCAAGGCGTACATGACCTCATCCAGGAAGTAGATCCCGCAATGCGCGCACCGGTTTGTCAAATCGTCTTGGGTGGACACTTCAGCTGTCGAACATTTGACAGAAACATCCATTGGAGTTTTGACTTCTTTCTCTTCGTTATGGATTGCCTCTTCTTCCATCTTTGAGTCCTCTTCTTTCCAGTTCTTGTCAGTCGATGGAGACTTTGTGTTTCTTTGCTTTATTGCGAGATCTAAAGGCGCTTCGTTCTCCAAAGATGCCGACGATGTTTGCGGTTGGATGGGTGGGGGTGGGTAATGCGGGGTTGCTGGTGGAGGAGGTAGAGGAGAGTATGGAGATGCACAGTAAGGCACCGTGTAGCTCTGCTGATGATGTTGCGTTACTGGGCTAACCATTCCTAAGTAACTGTTTCCGAGGCTAGCTGCATTGCTAAGGTTACTGATGCCGCCGGCGACACCAGACGTGGCTGCCATCTTGTATTTGGTCCAGAATCGAAGCCAGTCGGACTCGGGAGCCAAATCCGGTGATAAGGTTAAAGGTAGCGGCAAAGAGAAGAGCGGATATTGATACTTCTCAATTGGCGAACCCGGTGGCGAGTAGCTTGACGGTTTTGATGGCCGCATGTACTTTTCAATCGGGCTTCCTCTTTCCGAGCCGCCTCCTTTTCCTCCGTCAAGTTTGGAGATCAACCCAGAATCAGGAAGACCGCCATTGCCCTCTAAAGACGACGGGTGGGATGGCAGCAGAAGGGGAGGCATTCGTCGGTGGATCTCCAGAGTTTGATTGGCGAGGAAAGCTTGTGTGGAGCGTGGCGAGCGAGAGCGGGGGGAGGGCTGCTGGTTCTTCACTGAGCTTCGGTCAGTTTCGTCGCCGTTGATGCGCTCCTCGCTCGGCACCTGTTGCCGTTTGGGGGCGGGGTTTTCAGAAGGCAGCGAGTCAGGGTTGAGGCGTTTGCGAGTTCGACGTCGGATTATCTGCTCTCCGTTGTTCTGCTTGATGATGTTCAGAGGTCGGGGTGTCTGAAATGCAAGAAGAAAGTCAAGTAAATAAATGCTTTGAAAGTTGAGTTAGACTACTGAATCATTTTTACTAACAAATATACCTAATAAAACATATATGTATTTAACTAAATAAACATGACAATTAAAACTATGTTTTCATTTTAAACAATTTGTATACTATAATTAAATGCACCCAATAAAATATATATACTTAACTCAGTAGACATTACAATTAAAATTTGGTATTAAATTAAAACAATGTGTATATTATAATTAAACTTTCACTTATATTTTGACACTTTTATTCATTTACCTACAAGTCATTTAACTAGATCATAAAGAAAATCATCAAAATCGACCATTCATATCAAAATACATCTTTCCAAGTCATCACAATGCTATGCGATGTTAATTAACAATTAAAATTCAGTTTTATTCAATAGTAAAAACCGCACACATTGTTTAAAATGGGCGAATGAGTTCTTTTCTTGTTCTGGGTTGGTCAGCAGTCCCTCTGTACATTCATTGTTATGACCCATTGCTCAGCCTCTAGCCCTGGTTCCGCCTAATTTCTTTTCTTTGACAGAGTAAATTTATGTAGCCATTAAACAGAATAAAAGGTGACCTACAATAATACTTTTCAAACTTTTCACTTCTTTACTTATTTACTAGTAAAGGGGATATAAAACAAAGGCTATATTGTTGACTGAAAATGGCAAAGATACAATAATATGGAATATTTATATTAAAAGTTGAGGTGGCAGTTGCACTTTGTAACTGCAGTATAGATAATAATGTGGATGTGGTTTCTGCCCTCATCACAAGGGGGAGCTCCTACATCTTATGTAAATGCAGCTTATCAGGACAAGAAAACTGATATTTCAGCTGCACTACAAAGGAACTTCAGATTTAAATTTTTGCCGCTAAAAACTAAATTAATCACTGATTAAAAATAATAATGATGATGATGACGATGATGATGATGATTAAAAAAAAAAAATAATAAAAAATCCTCATATTTTGAGAGTAATTCCTATAATATGATGAAAGCGCTAGACCTTTCTACAGGTAAGCCCTTTATATATATAGAAAAAGCCCTGTGAGGAGAGAGGCAGGTATGTTTAGATAAATGTATGCATGGGAAAGCCCCTGTCATCTCTCATGTGGGCTGCATCAATCAGAGAGTGACCTGTGCTCAGAAGGAGGAGGAGGAATAGGCAGGGGAGAAAGAATGGAGTTGGTCAGGTCTGCTCCAGAGCAAGCCCAGTTTGTGCATGTGTTTTCATTTTTTTCATATATTATTTTTAATGAAACTTTCAAATAGCGTAAGAAATGTACACACAAGTAATATACTGAAATAACTCCATCTGTGTCGATCAAATAGAGATAATGAACTCATTTTGATCTAAAATGTCTTATCAAAGGTCATTGTAATACTTTAATATGCCTAAAACTATTTCTACAGTGATATTTTTATGATTTTCTATCTAGAGTGTACAGTGTCTGCTATAAACGTTTTTACAGTCTCTATCCACTTGCACATGGGTGGAAAATTAGCAATTACATTATACCTCATCACAAAGATACATCATGTCTGTGTTTAACTGCATTGTCCATGCCAAGAAAAAAAGATCCTTCCTTCGGAAAAAATGCCTTAAAGTTGCACTTAGCGTGATAATTTATGTTAAAGAGCCCGTATTACGCTATTTTCTGATTAATGTTATAATGTTGTTTCCTTATCACAAACATACCTGGAATTTTGTTTTATTTCATTCACATGCTTAACACACAAACCCTGCATATTTAGGCTGAGTTCTTCTCAGAAAACACTGTTCCACTTCATGATGTCATGTGATAATACAAGGTGTGCTCCACTGTGCTTTCTAAAATCACAAGGTGTAACAGGGCGTTGAGAGCTTTGTAGTTGCAGACACATTAATAATGAAGGATTACTCAAACGTGTGAATGAAACAAAACATTATAACATGGCTTAAAGCTCACAAGAGTCATAATAATATAATATAGGACCTTTTTTATCTTTTAAACTTTTTGAACAAGTTGTGCACACTTTTATTTCATCACGCCTGGACTACTGTAACACACTTTCTCACAAAACGCACTTCACCGACTACAGTTCGTCCAAATCTCTGCGGTGCGACTTTTAATAGGAACCAAAAGAAGAGAGCACATTACCCCAATCCTTGCGTCTTTGTACTGGCTTCCTGTTAATGTTAGAATTGATTTTATGATTTTAAGTGTTTGTTTTTAAAGCTTTGAATGGACTGCCCCCCCGGAACATCTCAAACCTCAACAAAATTTACACCCTAACGTGTGCTCTGAGGTTTGAGGACCAGCGCCAGGTCATGGTTGGCCCCAAACTCTGGAACGTTCTGCCCCTCCATGTCTGAACAGCCCCCACAGTGGAGAGTTTTAAGTCTCGTCTTAAAACATGGCAAAGGAGACATTCAATTTGTCAAGTGGACAAAGTTTATTTGGTTCAATACCTTTCTCAGCTCATCGAAGCTGCTTCTTCAGTTCTGGTCAGACGCTGTTGGACACTTCCTTATATCTGCCTGCAGGAAGGAGCTAACAAAAGTGAAACTATTTTGAAACAAACACCCTACTTGTTTACAGTTTCTGTTAGTTAGTTAGTTAGGCCTATTGACCTGCACTGAGTGTGGGGTCATATTAGCATTAATGGAGTTTTCACACCTCTGGGCCTGACCTGGATACAGCTATTGTTCTCTTGTTTGTTTTGATTTATGTTTGAGGATGGAGTTGTAAATAGGCAGTCTGACCAGAACTGAAGAAGCAGCTTGGATGAGCTGTGAAACATATTCGACCAAATAAACTTTGTCCAATTGACAAATTGAATTTCTACTTTGCCATGATTTCTACCGGGATGACTGAGGGATTTTACACACATCTCGTCTTAAAACCCATTTTTTATTCTCTGCCTTTTAACACCGCGTGAGTTGTGTGGTCCTCTGTGTCTTTTATTTATGTGTTTTAGTAGTTTTATTTATTTATTGCTATTTTATGGTTTTGCTCTTATTTTATTTGACTGGTTTTATTGTTTTAGGACAACCATATTTTACGGGCTATTAGGTGCTCTGGATTATAAGACACACTGTCATTAAATGGTCTATTTTTGAACTTTTTTCACAAATAAACTGCACCGGACTTTAAACGAAACACAACAGTTGGATGGGTCAGTGGGACTTTGTTTGGCGCGTTCACGGTGACTCTGGGCTTTCTTCAATTGTGGCGTGTAGGGAGGGTGCTGTCTGGGACCAACGGATTGTTGGCGTGTTCGCAGTGACTCAGTTGTTCAGTTGTGTCTCAAAGTGGCACATCACACTCGTTTTTTTGGTTCGTTCCTGCGTTCCATTCCTCGTTCTCATGGAGTGACAAGTGTGGCTGTGGGTGTGTTTTGCTGCGCAGTTGCTGTCTGCTCTGTGCGTGTTTGCGTGCGCTGCGGGTGGAGCGGTTTGGTAGTTTACTGAAGTTGTGCTGGGACACCCGAGTGGATTCGTGTGTAGGGCGCTTTGGATTGCAGGGCGTGCGGTTGTTTTTTGATGGGGTTAGGGGCTTAAGAACGCATCTAATATCACGGAAAATACGGTAGTATGATTAAATCTGAGTGTTTATTTTATCATTATATTATTATTGTTGTTATTAGTATGTATTAGTGCAGCACTTTGGTAAATGTTTGTTTGTAAAATGTGCTCTATAAATAAAGTGGATTGGATTGGATAAGTTATTTTTCCTGCAAAACCAGTATGACTGTAGTTAGCCTTAACAAAACATAAAATGGAGAAGTCTGATGATTTACAGTGTGCTGATGTGTACCCCAGGACACAGATTGTTCGAGTGATCCCAGCACTTTATGTTGCTGTACACAGGCGCAGCTCTGTACCACTGCAGCCTATAACTCATCTATGTATTTCCTCCATCTCCTGTCTTGTGTGCCTTCTCCCACCCTCTTAACCTTTTGTAATACACCCCGATCATTAGCTTTCTTCTTACTTTAATCTGCAGTACTTTTTTTGTCTTCCCATTCGCCTCAGCCTGCCTCCTTATCCATAATTCCCTTCTCGCTCACGGTCTCAAGTGTTTTACTAGCTGCTATCCTCTCTAATAATGTGTGTAGAGCGTATAAAACTTTTATTATGGGAAATAAAATATGGTTGTCGTGACGATTGCCAAGACTGGAAGAAGCAGTAGGGAGGACGTGATTGGAGGAGCAGATGAGAAGAACGGGTTGGACCAAGGACACGAGCAGGAGCAGGGTTGGGGGTGACAGCTAGTCCCCTAAAAGGTCTTTAAAGATCCATTTTGTAATTGCTTTTGGGTTTGTAACTCGGTAAGAAATTTATTGCGACGATTTACAAGCTGTTTTTAAAATAAACCAGCCAATATTGGAACGCGATTCAAAAAATCTCCCCAAAAGGCCTGTTTAACATTTGTTGCATTTGTAAATCATTTAGCGAGTTAGCGGGCATGTCAGGGTGTGAAATTGGCTTAAACCTCTTAAAAACATGTTAAAGGTGAGCAATCTTGGTATGCGTTCGTCAACTCACTTCAGCGCTGATCTTTATCTCATCTGTAATTCATGCAGTTTAATTAAATTTGGGATTTCCATAGAGCGGCTCCTCGGGCTTTAGATGGTAAAGTAGATTCATTCCATCAGATTTCCCACTCCATGGTTCTGCACGCACTTAATCAAATATACTCTTTCCACAATATTACTCCTCACAGTGGGACCTATAATATATACAGGAATTTAGCTACAGTACGCTCTATTTAATCCGCACCTTTTTTTTATGTGAGTAACAGTAGAATGATGAGTGGTGGTCAAACGGATTGGAAAGACTCTGAAATTGAGAGGAGCTCATCATGAATATACAGTAAAAATGAAAAAGCTACTACAATTACTACTACTAATACTATTTAACCTACGATCCATTAGGTGCACTGTGTAACTTTTCTGGTGCGGGGTCTGCCACCTGCTGGTCTCCATGGAGATGTTGTTGCTTGCCTGACATGGTTTACAGCAGGGGTCTCGGGGAATACCAGCAGCTCTCCACCCTCTTCCAAGTAGGTCGCCAAGGGATTTCTGAGATCCCGTTTACACTGAAACGAATCTCCGTATCAATGTATCACCGTATTGGAAACGATCTGCGTCCAGACACGTCGTTTCTGTATCCGCAATCAAAGCGTTCCCTGTCCAAACAGCCTGAAATGCTAGTCACGTGATAGGCTGGTGTCACGTTGTCACGACATCCCCACGTCACGTGAGCGGTAAAACCAGGGAAGTCCGAGGATACAGCAGCTGATTCCGAGCCGAGGGAGATGGCAAGTGTAAAAACTTGTCTTTTCGTGGACCGACGATGAGGTTCAGTAGTTACTTAGTATAACACTGGAGTTTAAGACAAGCATGGCAGCTCAGAGTGAGGACTGACTCGTTTCTGTGTCCGCAAGCCTTCCCTATCCACACAGCTTTGAGCATATTTGTTTACGTTTTACAGAAAGGACACTTAAAACCGCATGGCTAATTTGCATAAAACAGCTGGCTACTGTGCGCTGATGTAATAATAGAAGTAGTGGTAATTATTCATTTTTACTTGGGCTATTTGTAGATACTTTGCTTTCACGATCCTTGCAACAAGTCTACAAATGTTTTTGCGAAACATGTTTAATTTAGTCCAAAGTCAAGACGACATGACAGCTTGAACGAAAAAATAAATAAATACATCACGCGCTGACTGCACAATAAATGCACAATAAATCTGGTAGAATTGTTGAGAATTTTAAGCCCTATTTGAATGAAAATATGAGGATCATTTAAGAGCCTTTCTAAAATACATTAATGAAACAGTGCAATTATTGTTATTACTACAGTCAAGTCATGATAACTGGATACACTGGTGGAACGTAACAAAGTAAAAGTAGTAAAGTAAAAATTTTGGGTATCAATCTTTACTTAAGTACATTTTAAAGTGGATACTTTTTACTTTTACTTCACTACATTCGAGAGAAAGCACCTGTACTTTCTACACCACTACATTTTTAACAGGATTGAAAAGTTAAAGTGCTTTTTATGATTGTTTGAGACCTGCTGAAAAGGCTGAGGATCCATTTTTAAATATTTTTTTATAAAACAGCTAGGAAAAAAAAAAAAATCAGTTCCATTGTTTCTGTTTAACAAAATTGGAAATACTTTTACTTTTTACACTTACTCTTATATTTTAAACAGGTACTTTAATACTTACTTACTTTTTCGTGTGATGCTTTTTGCTCTAGTATTTGTACTTTTACATAAATGTACTATATTACACAAAATGGACTCTTGTGTGCATCAAAAACATAACTGGAGTTGTGTTAATTTCATTCACATATGTTTGAGTAACTTTTATTATTAGTCTGTCTACATCTCCAAAGCTGAAAATGCTCTGTTCCACCTTGTGATGTCATGTGGTGGTACTTTTCAAGCTCCTTCTACCTTTTGTTCAGTAGAGACAGTCAATTCTGAGGACTGAAATGATCAAAATGATTCCAGTGAAGATGTGCGGGGTTTAAAAACACAACTCAAGGTCTGTTTGTGATGGGGAAACAACATTATAACATGGATCAGAAAATGGAGTAATACGGGCCCATTCAGAAACAAAATAAGTGCTTCTTCCACCACTGTCTGGATACAAACATTTGGTTAGTGCTTTGTTTACGAGAACCTAGTCTGTCTGTCTCACCGAATGTAGTTTCTGGTACAGTCCACATGCGTTGCACACGTAGCCACCGTTGGCATTCTTCCTCCACAGTGACGTCTTGGTGGTCAGGCAGTTCGCACAGAAGACCCCGCTCCCTCTCCGGCGCTAAAAAAAGACACAAAATAAGAAATCAGTACGAGGAAAAACAACTTTACTTTTCCATCATTCACAGACAATGATTTGATGGTAAGTTTAGGACAGAGAACGGATCGGCTGCCTGACAGTAAGGTAGTAGTAGTAGGAGGAGGAGGTAAAGTAGTAGGAGTAGGAGTAGTAGGAGTAGTAAGAGTATAAGTATTAGTAGGAGTAGGAGTAGGATTGGTACTGGTAACAACTGTAATGGCAGGAACAGTAGCAGTAGGAGTAGTAGAATTAGTAGTAGTAGGATTAGTAGGAATAGGAGTAGTAGTACTGGTAGGAGTAAAAGTGGTAAAAGTAGAAATGGGAGTAGTAGTATCAGTAGTAGAATTAGGTGTAGTAGTAGTAGGAGTATTAGTAGTAGTCGAACTGGTAGTGGGAGTAGTAGTAGTAGTAGTAGTTGTAGGAGTAGTAGGATCAGTAGTAGATTTAGTAGGAGTTGTGGGAGTAGAAGCAGAAGTATTAGTAGTAGGAGTAGGAGTAGTAGTAGGAGGAGTAAAGGAGTAGTAGGAGTAGTAGTAGGAGGAGTGGGAGTAGGAGTAGTAGTAGTAATAGAAAGAGTAGGAGTAGTAGTAAGAGTAGTAGTAGTAGTAAGAGTAGTAATAGTAGGAGTAGTAATAGTAGGAGTAGTAGTAGTAACAGAAGAAGTAGGAGTTGTAGCAGTGGTAGGGGTAGTAGTAGTAGTAGAAGGAGGAGTAGGAGGAATAGTAGTAGGAGTAGTAGTAGTAATAGAAAGAGTAGGAGTAGTAGTAAGAGTAGTAATAGTAGTAGTAGTAGTAACAGAAGAAGTAGGAGTAGTAGGAGTAGTAATGTGAGTACGAGTAGTAGTAGTAATAGAAGAAGTAGGAGTAGTAGTAGTAGCAGTGGTAGGGGTAGTAGTAGGAGTATAGGAGGAGTAGGAGGAATAGTAGTAGGAGTAGTAGTAGGAGGAGTGGGAGTAGGAGTAGTAGTAGTAATAGAAAGAGTAGGAGTAGTAGTAGTAGGAGTAGTAATAGTAGTAGTAGTAGTAACAGAAGAAGTAGGAGTAGTAGGAGTAGCAGTGGTAGGGGTAGTAGTAGGAGTATAGGAGGAGTAGAAGTAGTAGTAGTAGTACTAGGAGCATTAATAGGAGTAGTAGGAATAGTAGTAGTAGTAGTAGTAGTAACAGAAGAAGTAGGAGTAGTAGGAGTAGCAGTGGTAGGGGTAGTAGTAGGAGTATAGGAGGAGTAGGAGTAGTAGTAGTAGTACTAGGAGCATTAATAGGAATAGTAGTAGTAGTAGTAGTAGCAGGAGGAGGAGGAGGAGGCGGTAAGGTACAAAAAAAAAGACACAAAATAAGAAATGAGTCTGAGGAAAAACGCTGAGTCAATCAACTTCCCTTTAATTTTCCCATCACTCACGGACAATGATTTGGTAGTAAGGTTAGGACAGAGGCAAGAGAACAGATTGGCTGCCTGACAGAACGATGATGTCCGCTCATTTATCATGCCTAATTGGGGGCTGAATTGCGAGCATAGTTTTAATCTATTCTGTCTTCACTGTATGAACCAAGGTTAATAAAAACACCAAATATACTTAGAGCAAAGAACATGATGGTGCTGAATATGGCGTGTGATGAGAATGGTAAGTACACGGGGACTCCGCTAAGAGAAACTCAGGTAATTTTGTCAAGTTCACTCTACGAAATCAGGGAGAGATTCTGTCACCTTGGAATATAAAAGGCCGTAGTTTTTATTGAGGGGTGAGGATCCAAAGGAAGCTAGTGGGTGGAATTTTGAGGCAAGTGTTAAAATTAATAAACGTCAGCTTTTAGTGTCATAATGTCACAGTTTTATTCCTATTTGAGAGTTTGGATTGGTAAGGTTTATTGTTGTCGTGATACAAAAATTTCAGGTTTGATTTTGATGCTAAGGAACAGACTTGAGACACAATAAGGATTCCGATACCACAATGATAAAAAAAACAACAACTTTCTTTTATATCTGTGCAACACTATGTGATTTTATACTTGTTCTGATACAGCTCAAGATCATTCTTTATTTCTGTCATGTAAATGTTTTTTTTAGTATCTATACTTGCTCAAATGAGTAGTTTTAGTGTAAATTAGTGTCTAACATTTGATACAGCCAAGTAAAAAAATGCCTGCACACATTTGAAACCACAATCTAGGAACTCAAAGAACTTTAAAGGCTTTTTTGTAAGTTTTTAAAAGTAATTTTTAATATATATTTTTTTAAAAACTTGGGCCTTATTTAAAAAGTAATGGTGCGGTCACTTTCAGATGGATGCTGGTGTCAAAAACTCCAGTCCAATCCATTTTATTTATATAGCACATTTCACAAACAGTTTCCAAAGCGCTGCACGGATACATAATAATGACAACAACAATAATAAATAAAATGATAAAATAAACGCTCAAATTTAATCATACTAGTCTAAAATTAATAAAACCGGTCAAATAAAATAAGAGCAAAACCACAGAATAGCAATAAATAAATAAAACCAATAAACTGCATTCAAAATAAAATAAAATAATAAATAAAAGACACAGAGGATCACACAACTCACGCGGTGTTAAAAGCCAGAGAATAAAAGTGGGTTTATTATCCAAAAGTAAATAACAAATGTTGCCAAATCACTATTTAAAATTCTATTAATCCCATCACACCAAGAAGAAAATGTTAAGATTTACTGAATTTTCTGGTCTCTACTTCACTCACACAAATAAAAGTGTAAAGGACTGGAAATAACTCACACATTAAAAAATATGCAACAACAGCAAATTAGTAATATTTTCACTGCAAGTTCCTATGTCAGGCTGGATTACTCATGTGACTAAAACACAGTTATGATCAAATATTCAAGATTTTTGCAAAAACATTCACACTTGTTTTCCCAATTTAGATTTTAAATTGTACTTTCTGGTTGACATCACGCTAGGGAATTTCATAACTGTTACTTAGACTTAGACAAAGTTTATTGATCCACAAGGGAAATTATTTGGACACAGTAGCTCAAAAAAAAAAAAAAAAAAAAAAAAAAATGGTAATAATAAATTCTATTCTAAATAAGTAACACAAAAGATAGCAAGAGACAGGTGTCAAAAAATACATAATTATAAAAATGTATATATATAAGTCAAAATAAATAAATAAATAAATAATTAATTAATTAAATTTTAATAAATACAATAAAAAAATAAAAAAATTACAATAAATACAATTTAATAAAATAATAAAATAAAATAGAACGATAAGTAATAAAACTTGCCTAGCGAAACTCCTCTAATGAATGCATGTATATGTTTTTGTTGACTTTTATGTAAAGCACTGTGCTGAGCTGAAGTTGTTTTTAAATGTGCTATAGAAATAAAGTTGAACTGAACTGAGTAATGTACACAGAAATTATGATCTGACAAATACAAATATAAAGAAAAACACCTGTATTCTGTTGAAATCATGATTGAAGTATCAGAAAAAATGTGTTTCTTATGTGTAAAATGTGCCGAACTTTGGGATTCTCATAGGGTCAACACATTTTTCAACTTTTCTTTGCAAACTTTTAGGTGTAAAACTATCATTTTTATTTACAATAGTTGTAATCTCAAAAAAATTAAGTAAAAATGTGATAATCATAAAAATCCATCATACACACATTTTAAGTCTACATAATGTGTTTTATCATCTAAAACCCAACAATTATCCAATATTAGATTAAAAAATAAATAAGAAAAAGCAATAGAAGAAGAAGAAATGATTAAATCAATAGACAAAATATTTTTTCTTCTCCTATAAAGTTGCCAGCCGTCACGCCCCATTCCTTATTCCCAATTGCTTTCCAAACTTCTGCAAAAATATTGAACGTCTTCCACTCGTTGCATACTCTTCAGTGCAAACCATCCCAACAGCCAAAGTGCATTCACAAATAATGCAAATGGAGGGGCTGGTTTGGGGTGCAAAAGGCCAATTGTGGTGGCAACGTGCTCCATCACGGTAATGAGCCAATCACAACATTTCTCCATCCCATTAAGTCTGTGGCCCCATCCGACACCTTTATGACCCCGAGAGGACACCGTACCTCATCGTTCCCATTATTACCATCAGCACGGACCATGTATTGCAATCACCGGAGTTTGTTTGCTCGGTTTTGTTTCGCGGTGAGAGCTATTATGCAAGAGGCTTCTGCAGTTTTGGAAGAAGAAGAAGAAGAAGAAGAAGAGGTTAAATATTTGTGGCCCCGGCTGAGCTACTGTACGCGCTTCTGTGCTTACTAATATCCCAACTAGACAACAAATATATTTTCCATTTGAGATTTTTCTGTTGCGACAAATGACTTCTCCTTTTGGATTAGATCAAGGGACAGCCTTATTAACGCTGCAGTATGTTCCTTCAAACCATATCAAAACTTGTCCAGTCCTCCAGGGGGCAAGCTCAGAATCCTACAGTATTTACACTCCTTACTATGGTGTAGTACTTAATGGCTTTCTATAGGGAACTTCATGCTCGGTGTATGACACATTATTCAGTGCTGCTGGGGCAAACTGCCTGGAGCGCTTTAATCTTTGATAAATAACTCGCATCACTATGGCCACGAAGATAAATTGTGAATTCTAATTTCACTTTAAAGGTGCACAACTTTTCTGGTGGAGGCTCTGCTACCTACTTGTCTCCATGGAGTTGTGATTGCTTTGCCTAGAATGTTCCGTGGTATTAAATGTTAAACGTTTCCATCGAGCATTTATTCATTAAGGGTGTCTCTATTGCTCAAAAATACAATAATTCCTTCTGTAAATAGGGGCGAATCTCCACAGATCTGAAACAGAGTCCTGCATCGTGCCAAATAGTTGCTGAAATGAGCGGGTTTTAACGTTCTGGAATTTTACAGGTGGGTATGCGGGCGAGCAGTGATTACACACAGGCGGGTCAGGTGAATTTAATGAACAACGAACAGGAGAAAAATACAGGACATCTGTTGCCCTGGAAACAAGT